CAGAAAGACCTCAAGCCTGTCATTATCAATTATAAAAGAAAAGAAAAAGATACAAGACATAATAGACAACATGTGCTAAATATTGGGGACACCTTGTTAAAAGCAATTATTCATTTGCCGTATTAAATGTGCCAAACCCAAGGGAAGCAAACGGACGAAAGGAGGATTTTCAAATGTTGAATCTTGAGCTGCAGCTTCATTTAAGAACACTTTAAGTTCAAACACTCAGCTGTGAGCATGAAGACGTAAGATTAATGAAAAAGGAATACTGTTTCAGAAGGTTCCTACCTGTTGCTTAAACTGCGTGTGAAATAATGAATGCATCTCCGCTGGCTGCTGGCTACCACAGTGCAACGAAATTGTCAGTGGATGGACAGCAATTGGCTGTGGGGTTCAGACCAAATTGACAGAAAGTACTGTATGGCCAAGGGTACGCGCTGGAATGGAAATGAAATTTCATGATCAGAGGCAGCAGAGAAATCAAATGTAATATTCTGTCAGAAATTCATTTACCACTGCAGGCAAACCACAAATTGACTTATTAGACCCCAGAAACCAGTGTGAAGAGAATAATTTGTCTTTCTCAGTGGACTTATTTCATTAGCAAAACAATACATAACTTTGATAGTTGGCCAAAAATACTGCTGACTCTGCTCACAAGATCAGCGAATACAAGCAAGTAGACTCAGCTCATGAGTTTACATTTTACAATATCCGACACAGCAGGAAGTGTAAGTCTAAGAAATTGACAAGCACTGAAGAATTTGTCTTTGCCGAATTAGATTTGCAATATAACTGCATGTCTATATTCATGTTCAATTCTTGAGTCACCGAAATTAAAATGCTCTTCAGGCGTTCTTTGGCAGAGGAAAGAGGAAGGAGGAAAAGTTATATTAAAAGCTTTCATTTAGTCGGGCATATTGGTTAAAAGGTTTGGCTGCTTTGACATGACATTGTCTTCATCGGGGGGGGGGTCCTTACATTACCCACAATGCAACTCAACCGCCAACAGTTGAATCGGAGATTCAGGTGTGTTGGCCTCGAGCAGAAACGATGAACAGAGTGCTTGTTACTTGAATACTTTCTAACATTTATCTTCCTCTTTGAATTAGACCAGAAGATCAATACCACTCTCAGTTGATTAGGTGACTGCAGATGATTAGCCTAGCTTAGCATAAGAGAGTGGGAACATGGGAGAAAAATTCCCCCACCAGCAACTCTAAATGTTACCAATCCGAGTCGCAACTTAGTACTAAATCAAATTATCCACAACTCTCAGAAATAATTGTGTGGAACAGCATGGTACCACATGTTGTATTGAGATGACTCTCAATAATGAATTTCGGATTCAGCAGCAGCAGCTTTCAAACTTTGTCCATGACTCTGTTACTTTAATCTCCTCTTGAACCACCTGCTTAAAAGTAAAGGGCTTTCAACTGTGACTCTGTTAATGAGACACACTGCTTGATAGAGTGAAGGGAGCTCTTTAGGTGAGTTGGTTTTGCACATTACTGCTGCGTTCTATTGTTTCCAACGGATGATGTGAGCATGATAACATTAAAAGCAAATATCTGACGAAGGAAATAACATCAAATAGATTCAGATCAACTTTTTTCAAATTTACTGTGCTGGTGTATTATTAAACTGTTTGTAGGATAGTACAGTTTGGATGCCTGTGTGTTGTCTCCGTCTGCCTTTGTTTTATTGAGCTGCACATGCCTTTGGTGCACTTTGTGCAATTTGACCTGCTTTGTTCTTTCTATAGGTACAAAAGGGCTGCAGTTTTCCATCAATAGTTAGCAAATCAGCAAAGATCTCTCTTATGTAGTAATTGACAGCTAGACAAGTGGATCCCCTTAAAATCAAATTATAATGTTTCCATGCGAGGAAGGGTTTTAACCTCTTATATGTTTTCTGAGGGCACTCATACAACTTTGATTGACATGTGTTAATTTAATAGGCTGGAAGGCAAATTTAATTAATTCTTGTAAGTGGGGCACAGAGAAGATCGACATCACACTGGTTGACAAACCCATCGAAGACCGAGGACAAGGGTGACAAGTAATCTTAACTGTAGGTCCGCTTATTGGCTTTTTTAACTGTTAACCATATCTCAAAATTGCAGACGCAAATTGAGTTGTCTGCTTTGTCATGGAGATGCTGCAGTTGTAATGAGGTTTCATCAATATGTCATTTAGTGTCACACCAAGTATGAAACGTTGGCCATGTGATAATGGATGGTCTCATGTGGGAGATGGGAGTTTAAAGCTCCAGAAAAAGCTTGTAAGTGGTGTCCTGGTGTGCACTTCATACAAATAATACTGTGGTTTGTATAAAATAATTAAATAAGGCATAAAGAGTTCAAAAATTGTCAAAGAGTCACTCTACAATTACTCAGGCTTGCTGCAGGTGTTACTGGCAACGTTTGTTGGCTTGTGTATGCAGCAACTCAAGAGTACCTTATTGCTGACAAATGGTCCAAACCTTGTGGAGATTGATTCATCATTTCATCTCATGTGTAACTGATGCTTTGTCCTCCAAAGTAGCAACCCACACAAACGCACCACACCACTCTCTCACTTACTCTGAGCTGGCACGCGATCTCGTTTGTTAAAAAGACGTAAGAAAGTGGCGAGTGGGCCGATAGCAGAGGAAAGATAACAGCATGACAGGGTGAGAAATGTTGTAGTAGTCGGGAATCTATTTCTGACATCTTTTACAAATCTTTTTTCAAATCAGCATTTTACAACCAACAGGATAGTGGGCAGTCTGTTGTTAAACCCCACACAGTCCGTTATCACTCCTTGTGTTGTAAACCTGCGTTCAAATGGTCATGGACGTGTAGTAAACCTTTATGTTCCCCCCACTGTATTATCTCTTCCCCGGGTGTACTACCATCCAGTCAGCAGCGCAGCTAATTGGGTTGTAAGCAGTTAACAGGCCTGTGAAGCTCCTGTCGGGAACACAGCAACACCACAACGACGAATGCGTTATCGGGCCTCGCCATGACAACATAGAGACAACTTTTAATGAGCGGGTCTGAGCAGTGATGCTGCTGTTGTGTTAGTGGAATTTAGAAGAATATTAATTAGCAGAATGAAAGGCAATGTAGAACAGTCCTGTTGCTAATAGACAAGCACGCTGGTGCTGATGAGTTCCCCTTTGTCAAAGCCTCTTTGGCAAAACACAGCCTTAATTATTAATACATAAATAAATACATTTTGAAATTTCATAATTACACTATATTATATCTACAGCAATATGGAAAACATCTCGGTGTTTTGTTTGTAAACATCTCACCAGCATATTTTTTTAGAGAAGAAGCACAATAAGCTGTTCTGTCAGCTCGATGGTGGTATTTCTTATCTGAATGTGGTGCTATAAAAACAACCGCAGACAGGAACAGGCCAGGGACACACACACACACACACACACACACACACGCGCGCGCATTGTGGGGGAAAAAACTTTTTTGAGGTGTAAGATCCCAGTGCTGTTTAGTGCTGGTTTGTATTAACACAACTAAGTGTCATGGAAGAGAAAGACAGGCTTGTGGCTCAGCCAGCAGCGGCCGCCGCTCGCTAATTTACAGGTCTGCCAGCGAGAGCTCAACCAGCAAGAGTTATACGAGCACTCGGAGCTATGAAATGAACTCCAGATCGAGAGAATCAGCCGCCAGGTGGATGTGCGATGTGTTACTGTTGACTTAACTGCAGGGTTTTTTATCTGTGGGGATCTGAATATGTTTGCTTTTCTATGAAAGACTTAGGACTTGGCAGAGAACCATGAGCCTGAGGTTTTGTGTGGCAGCTCATACAGTATGTGTGTTTGTAGTCGTCGGTTGGAGAATTTTCAGTGATTTTATGCCTCAGAAATAACATCTGCATTTTTACTTGAGGCAATGTTATATGTGTACTGCTTTATGCCCTTGTGTGTTGTACGTCAAGTTGAACTTTGGTCAGGTCTTGTATTTGTCAAACTTCTAAGAATCGCTCTACCGCAAAAGGATCAACTGAGGCGTAAAAAAGTTGAGTTGAGAGTGAGGAATAAAACACATTTATCAAGCAACTTACTTGTACTCAAAGTGAAGTGTGGGAGTGAACTTCAAAAGCTCCATCACACGATTAATCACATGTATGATCCGATCAGGGATAGCCAGTCATAGATGCAGGTTTACTCTGCATCTGCTCCATTTTTTTTTAAAATATCTGCAAAAACATGTCATTTAAATTTTTTGTTATACTTCATTTTAATTGCGCATCATCCTTAATATCTCCAGTAACAATTAACATGAGAAATACCAACAATCTATTGTATTTAAATACAAAATAGGGATAACATGACGTTAACTTACATACAATAAAAAGGGTTTCTATTCTATTCTATTAAATCCCAAATTTAACTTTTAGCAGTTATAGCTGTCTTTTTTGAGTTGCAGTGTTCTTCAACCGGATGTTCTGAACAAACCTCAATGCGAAGAGTAGAGAGTGTCTGTGTGCTTGTCGTTGTGTCTGTACGCGTGCATGTGTGTGTGTGCGTGTGTGTGTGTGTGTGTGTGTCAGCATTGTCAGTCAGAGCAGCTGCAAACTTTTGAGCAGAGGTCGTAAGTCACCGGGTCACTGAGACAGGAGGTACCAAGAGGCCAGACTGAACCTCCGTGCGGTAGTTGAACAAACAACTTTATGAAGAGGAATATAAATGACAGTGTCAAACTGAAAGCAGGGTCACAGTGGCCTCACGTCTCCTCGCTCCTGTGACAGAATTGAAAGTAGGTTGGAGATCACCAAGCACTCGTGTCAAAAAGGTATAAGATTTTATCATAAAAGAAAGCCAGGGATTTGACACCTTAAATGTAGTTCTGGTTTTGACCCTGGACTTTCCCTTAACCCATCTAAATCGGTGCACATCTTTTTGGAGTACTTCAATAATGATCCACAAAGGAAATTTTATATTTTAAATCTCACTTCCTTTCATTTGTCTCTCTCTCGCTCTCTCTCTAGATGGGAACTGTAACCTGACCATGGCTTCTACCTCCATGACAATGCCCATGTCAGACCACAGCCCCTGGGCAACAGCCATGAGCAACCTGGGGATGCCTCCACTAAGCATGACTGGACAGCAGCTCATGCCAGGTACCACAGAAAACATACATGCTGCCAAACAGGTCACACAATGGCACACAAACAAAAGTGCGCTGTATTGTACAGTGTATATATATATATTGATGTGGGAATTTATATCCCACAGCTCATTGTATTTTTTTCCAAGATTTAAGTCGACTTTGTGGTTCGAAGATATGCTGTAAGGTATAGCTGCCTACGTGCTTTTAGAGGTGGCAGAAACAGACACCTTAAGGTTACAGAACCTTTTTTGGTTGTTGCCTTGAATCCACTGACTGACTGGGAAAGAAATATGTGTAGGAGGATATATGAGTAACAGTGTTTCCTCCCCCTCCGCTGCCCTCAAAGTACCCTTGAGCAAGTAGGTGAGCATCAGCACTGGAGAAGCTGTACTCATCGCACATGGGCAGCTCCCGATGCGTCAATGTTTGAATGTCTGGAGCTTCCCCTCCTCTGCATCCACTCCCCCAGGCAGTTATAATTAAGGATGTGCTGTTAGCTCACTTTCCTGCTTTGAAAATGACGAATGTGTCCAGAGGACGATGACATGTGTGTGTGTTTTTATAACTGTGAGGGCGGTAAGTCAACCTTGTCTGACTGTACAGAGTCCAGCTGGAGCTCAGGGTGTTTAGAGTATGTGTGGTAACCCCTTCAAGGAGTGTCCTCGCTGTTCCACTAGTTGCACACTCAGAGTTAGTAATCCTATCCCGCCCCCAAGGGCTTGGCTAGGTTCATTCTGATTGGCTGAGCACATGCAGGCACACTGTAGTGTAGGTGAAAGGTTTGTGCATTTTTTGGAAATTGTTTTATTTCTTGCCCAGAGATGGATGAGACCAGGTCACAAGGTTGAAAAGGATTTTAAATGTCATTGTACGACAGGGTTGCACAAAAAAAATGTAGATTGTTGTCCCAATTTGCTACATAGGAAAGAAAAAAAAAACTATACTATATATGGATAGTGGAGAATGAATTAAGGAGTCTCACAGCTAGAGAAAAAAGGCTGTTTTGAAGTCTGGTGGTTCGGCAGCTCATACTTCTGTATCTCATTCCAGACGGCAGCAGGGTGAACAGGTTGTGGCGGTGGTGGGTTTTGTCTTTTAAATTCCCTTTAGCTCTTCACAGGCTCCTCTTCCCACCATTATCACCGATGCTCAGTAGATGGGTACCAATGATGATCTGGGCGGTTTTAATCACCCGCTGTAGAGCTCTCCTGACCCATGCCAGTTTTTTAAATGTTTGCAGTCAGGATTCCTTCTATTGCACTTCTGTAAAAGTTGACAAGAAGTTGGCACGGGAATTTTACCTTCTTAAGTTTCCTTAAGAAATAGAGCCGTTTACGAGCTTTCTTCACTAGTATGGAGATGTGTGATGACCATGTCGGGTTTTTTGTGATGCTGATTCCCAGGAACTTAAAACTGCTAACTTGCTCCAGCTCTGCACTATTGTGCGTCTTCGCCTCCTTCTTTCTAAAATCAACAATCAGCTCCTTGGTTTTACTGACATTGAGCAGTAGGTTGTTCTCTGATCACCTCTCTGCAAGGTTGTTGATTTCCTCTTTATATGAAGTCTCATTGTTGTTTGTAATCTGGCCGATGAAGGTAGTGTCATCTGCAAACTTCTCAACAGAGTTCTCTTCAAGTTTGGGGTAGCAGTCGTGGGTGTACAGCGTGAACAGGAGGGGGCTGAGCACACAGCCCTGGGGGCCTCCGGTGTTCAACACTAGAGTGGAGGAGGTTTGGCTGCCAATCCGAACAGCCTGGGGTCTGTTTGTGAGGAAGTCTAATAACCAGTTGCAGAGTGAGGTTTTCTCAAGCCCAGAGTGCTCGGTTCATGTGTTCAAGTTTCATGGGGGAGATTGTGTTGAAGGCTGAGCTGAAATCAACAAACAGCATTCTGATGTAGGTGTTGTTATTTTCCAGATGAGTGATGGCTGAGTGGAGAGCAGTGGAGACGGCATCCTCTGTGGATCTGTTGGCTCTGTATGCAAACTGGTGAGGGTCCAGGCTGGCTGGGATGTTGGTTTTGAATGTGCTGGAGAACCAGTTTCTCCAAGCACTTCATCAGAATGGGGGTGAGTGCCACAGGGAGATAGTCATTTAGACTAAACACTGCAGAGCGACACCTCTCTCATGTCTGTATATAAATGAACCTACAGCCAGCAGTCGATTAGCTTAGCTTAGCATAAAGACTGAGAGCAGGGGGCAACAGCTAGCCTGGCTCTGTCCAGAGGTAACAAAATCCAACTACCAGCATTTCCAAAACTCACTGCGGGACTATTTCTTGGCCAGGTGCAGTGATTTTGAAACAATGAGACTCACTGACTCCACCAAAGAAGACCCTGTGAAACTCAAATAATGTATTTTTTGTACGGATTCAACAAAGGAATAATAACATGTTGCTTGGCTAGTTTTGGAGGCTAGCTGTGTCCCCCTGTTACCGGTCTTTCTGCTGAGCTAAGCAATCCGGCTGCTGGCTGGAGCTTAATTTTTAACCGAGATGATGGTGATATTGATCTTCTTATCTAACTTTCTTAGAATTATGGTTCATCCCCAACATGTATCAGAGGGTTCAGCCTGTGTGCTTAGAAATAGAGTTATGATGTTTAACTAGTGCCTGCTTTGGTCAGGTCACATTGGGTCAGCAGCTGACAATGTGCCAGCATGTAGTGTGTGTGTGTTGCCATATCAAATGTGCCAAGAATATAATGTTTGTGCTCGCTGATCCCTTCTGTAAAACCTAGCTCGCTTAAAGCCAAGATATATAAACACGTCAACATCCCTATAATCCCTCCAAGGCCTGGTTTCTTAAACTACGGTTCACAACCTCAACTGAGACATGAGCAGACTTCTGTTGTTGAAGAGTGTGACTCAGTCAGTGGATACATATATGCCCTGCAAACACAAATGCACAGTTACAGCACAATAACACAAAAACAATCAATAGCAAAAGCTATTTTAGCAAAAAACATAAACTTCAGGACACAAGATGGTGGTTTAAGTTTTTCTCACCAAGAAGAGGCAGCTCCCTTTGTTGAACCAAGAATACAGTTCTCCGGTTAATGTTGTTTACAATTTAACAATGAAAGTGTCATCTCGAAAATAGTTTGTGTTTTACATGGGGTTTCAGACTAACAATTGGCAAAACATCACAACTGAACTGGGTGTTGGTTGGTGAACTACACTTAAAAAAAATGCTAAATTCCCCTTTTCAGGCACTTTTGCAGCATTTAATTCACAGGAGCTTGTGTTTTCTGTCTGTCAGGAATAGTTTTTTGAGTGAGAAAAATGATCTCTCTCAAATTGCTTTCAGAAATAGACTTTTAACTCATCTACATTCATTTGCAAAGTATCACAAGGAGAGTTGCATTCATTCTGACCCATATTTAAAAGTAATCGTTAAAAAAGAAAATCATTAAATATGAATAAAAAGACACTCTGAATTAATTAAAAGCTCAAATCACAAGGTCCAATTATTAAACTGTATTAAATTTATCAATATGTTATGTACAAGGACTCAATTATTCCCACAGGGCAATAGTAGCAGTATTCACAGCCGACCTGACTCATACAGTAAGTGAACTAATTGCCTGCATTAGGGCAACCAGAGGGCCCGCAAGGAACGCTTGAAATGTCCTACAGGAGAGCTGCAAACAGAGCCGAGTAGCCCTTTAGGCTCACTATGCAACTTGGGCGGGGCACTGCAAATTACGCAAGGGCCCCAGCTCCTTCTTGTGTGGAAGTGCGTGTTGATGTTACCCCCTGATTATTCTAATGCCATAACTCTGGGAACAGAATGGAGGACTGCGACTATATGTCACATTTGGTCAGATACAAAGGGTTATCCAAGATGGCTTTGATGTTGTGCCTCATCTCCCTCTCCGCCCCGGCCTCCACAATGTCCAGTTCCAACCTGATCACCCAGCTGGCTTTTCTTAACGGCTTGTTGAGACCGCTGACCTCCTAGCCTTGATGCAGAGCACTGGCTAATAAAGACTGTTAAAAGATCTGCAGGAGCCTGAAGGATCTGAGGCTCCTCTGGAACAACAGCGCTCTGTCCCTTTCTGAATAGATATTCAGTGCTGTTAGTCCAGTCCAGTTTTATCATTAATTTGAAAGCCAAGGTCCTTATGAATCCACTTCCCACTTCACTTCCCTTCTGGTAGTAAACCACCAGAAGCTCTTTGGTTTCACTGGAATCATACATGTCAATAAAATGACTTCAAACTTCAATTTCGCCAAAAATGTATATCTAATACCTTTTATTTTAATTCCTTAAAGTCTTTACTACTTAAACTGTATGAGTCTGGACAGACATGGATTTAAACTTCAACTTGAGCGGTTGGCGGAGGCATAAAACCGCAAGGCAGTCATTTTAGTTTCACCTCTTTTGCCCAGGTGGCAAAGAAGGTAGAAGAAGAAGATGAGAAGAATCTCATCAAGAACTTAAATCTGTCCCTTTCACAGCAGTGTATTAAATTCATTGTATTTTCTTTGTGCGTAATAGATGAAGAATGAGATTGCTGTGGTTGGTATTAGGCCTATATATTGATTTGATGATAGAACCTTTATCCCTGGCCAGGTCCGATGTTAGTTTATGTTGGCAATTGAGATTGATCCAATAAAAACAGATACACTGAGCTGACTCCGGGAGATTGAGTTATGACTCCATGACTGTGTAAGCAACACTCACATGCACACACAAACACATTCACACAACAGCTGACATTATAGTTGACTGATTAATTGTGACAGCATCCTGTCACAGTTAGACAGATTCTTCCGCCATCTCGGTTTTTCTCACGTTGCAATGAGGTTAAAGGTTATGAAAAAAAGGCCATTCAACGAGGTTGAAACTCACGGATTCAACATGGAAACTACTCATGATCATAATGAACACCAATCACAGAGCTGTGTCATTAATATGTCCCTGAAAGGCACACAACAGCTCATTCAAATGAATTGTGTTATACCACTTCATTAACAGTGTTATCCACAACGCTGGCTAAATATTTT